GGGAGTCTGCTTCTCCCTCTGGCCCTCCCCCTTCTCATGCTCTCTCTATCTCATTCTCTCTCTCAAATAAATAAATAAAATCTTTAAAAAAAGAAAAAAGATATCTCTTCATGTCTTTTACACATTTTCTAATTACGTTGTTTTTTTACTGCTGAGTTCTGAGAGTTCTTTATATACTCTAGATGTGGGCCCTTCTACCAGAATGTAGTTTGCCGATAATTTCATCTGATTTGCCTTTCATTCTCTTCATATGGATTTTCCCAGAGCAAAAGATCTTAATTGTGATGAGGCCCAAATTATCACTTTTTAGTTTTAGAGATTATACTTTGGGGACAAGTCTAAGAATTCTGCTTAGTCTGAAATCTGGAAAATTTTTTTCTATTTTTTTTTTTTTTGTCTAAAACCAATACTGCACTTTTCTGAATAATATGCCAAAATAGTAAGCCTTAACATTGGGTAGAGCAATTTTTCCTGCCTTTTTTTTTTTTTTTAAATTTTTCCTGCTTTTTAATTCTTTGTCAAGATTGCCCTTCCATATGAATTTTAGAATAAGCTTGTCTATATCTATAAAAATTCTTGTTGGGATTTGTATAGGAATTACATTAAACCTGTAGATCAATTTGAGAAAAAAATGGTTTTTAGTTTTTGAGTCTTCCAATGCACAAATGAATATATCTCTCAATTTATTTAGGTATACTTGATTTCTTTTATCAGCATTTTGTAATTTTCAGCATGTAATTCCTATAGTTATTTTAATAAGCCTATATCTAAGCATTTCATTTTCAATAGAACAGTTGTAAAAGGTATTATATTTTTCAGTTTTATCAGGTTTATTATTAATGTATAGAAATGCAATTGATATTTTCATATTGGTTTTGTATCCTGTGAACTTATTTAACTCATTTATTAGTTCTAGGGTTTTTTTTGTAGATTCTCTGGGATTTCCTACATAGATAATCACGTCATCTGCAAATAGGGGTATTTTAACCTTCAAATCTGTATGACCTTTGTTTCTTTTTCTTGTCTTATTGCAATGCTAGAAATTCCAGTACTATATTGAATAAAGTAGTGAGAAAGAACATACTTGCCTTGTTTCCAGTAGTAGGGGGAAAGCATCCAGTCTTTCACCATTTATTATAAAGTTAGCTGTAGGTTTTTTAGATGTTATCAACTTGAGGAAGTTCCCTGTAGAGAGTTTTTCTCATGAATGCTTTCATCGAATGCTGTTTCTCAGTCAATTAATTATGATCATATGCCTTTTTTTTCTTTAGCTTATTGATACATGGTGTAGAACACTGATTGATTTCTGGATGTTAAGATAGTTTGCATACTTGGAAATAATTCCACTTTGTTATGTGCATAATTCCTTTTTACTTTGTTGGATTCGGTTTGTTAATATTTCATTGAAGAATTTTATTTTATTTTGTTTTTAT